ACATCGACATAGTAAACATATGTAATCCGATTATGTTTACCTTCACAGTTCGATAAAACATTTATTGCATGATAAACATTGTTTATAAACAAATCATGCGATAAATATTACGGATTCGTTATTGCTCCGTACATTAATTATATTTATAACTTGATCATAGTCTATGTTTATAGAACATATTTCTTTTAGATAGCTAATCTATAACGAATACAATTATGAAACAAATGTATTTAACATTTGTTATACTTACATTAAAAACATTTTTTTACCCAACTTACAATGCCATACAAGCTGACGGGTCCACCTGATGGAAAGTGGTAACCGTCGCCTATAGACATGAACAGTACCATGGACATAACAGAGTATTCGTATCTATTTCGCCCATGATACCCCCCATGCGTTGCCATTCCTGAGGACTCAAGTGTTATGCCTCTGTACCTCTGTACTAAAATTAATAAGGATAGGAACCGACGTGCTGGCATGAAATGTTTTTTTTTTAAATCGATGATGATGGAATGGTAGCCCCATCTGCGCTGATGGTATACGCTGGCGGGACACCAGTGAGGGATGATAGGTGAGAATGAAAAGGCAAATCAGTTAGTCCATCGTGATGAATTCACTTGGAATAGAACAGGACAGTTTCCAGGAAGAACTGCGAGGAGATCGACCTGACAGGATATATTGCTAGCAATGGGGTTACTAATCCCCATTATTAACAATCCCTTCTCCCCCTTACATTAGATGTTGTGAAAGTGGACGAAGGTGGACATACGGTAAGTTACAAGTAAATACTTGATAACTATAGTCTTCGTTTACTGATCACGGAGCCGTAACAAAAGCTAAGTATTATGAAGAGGAACCATTCGTATGCTCGTTGAAGGACGACAATGTAAGGAAGTGGCGATTCGATACGAATTGTACTTTCACTGCTGTTCATATTTCCCGGTAACGTCATTGTTTTGGTATTAAATTGAAGAGATGTGTACATCAATTTATTATTTTTAATTGAACGTGACAAGAATATATAAGATCAAAAATGAGTATACATATAAGTGGTGGTTTGAAAGTAGCGCCAGTAATGGAGAATTTTATTTATTTATTATTTGATGGGTGAAAATGGTATGGTAACCCCGCCTGCGCTAACGGGATACGCTGGCGGAGCACCACTGAAGGGTGATAGATGAGAATGAAAACAGGCCAGTTAGCCCATCATGATGAATTCATCAGGAATTAACCATGATAGTAGCCAGGGTGAACCGCGAGGAGGTCGACCTGGTTGGGTATATTGCTAGCAATGGGATTCTCAGTCTCCATTACTAACAATCCCTTCCCCCCCCCAACCATCGTGGTTAATTTCTAGTATAATTCATCACGATGGATTTGACTTCCTCCTCACTGATCATCCCTAATTGGTACTCTATTGGTATAAGCGGAAATCATATATTAATAGCGCAAGTAAAGTTACTATTTTGTTTTCATTCTAAAATAAGGTAAGCACAAACAAAGCCGCGGTATAGAGCTAGTAATATCGAAACCGACCGCAAATCTTACATAAGCGAGCAATGCACAAAGACAAAAACTCACATCCAGAGCAACAAATTGTAAATAACTTGAAGTGGTCACTTTCATTTTTCCATCATTAAAACATTCGCCTCGACAACAGTACGCATACTATATATGTATACTCATTAATTATAATTTTGTGTTAATTATACGATGCGAATTGCAAGTTGCAATTCGTAATTAAACTCTAAATATATTTTATTGCAAACTTTCTAGTTACGCGGTAGTGTTTTTTTTTTTAATGGATTATAATGGAATGGTAACCCCACCCGCGCTATCGGTATACACCGGCGGAGCACCAGTGAACGATGATAGGTGAGGATGAAGTAGGTCAGATAGCCTATCGTGACGAATTCAACGAGAATTGTTCACGATGGTTTCCAGGGGGAACCACGTAGAGGTCGACCTAATAAGGCATATTGCTAGCAATTGGGCTGTCAAACCACATTGCTAACAATCCTTTTGCTAAAAATCCTGCTAAAAATCCTGGGTGTAAATGTTGTTGTTGTTGTAAAATCTTTATTGTATTGATTTTATATACAATGGCGGACTTATCCCATAAAGGAATCTCTTACAGTCAACCTTTGAGGAGCTGAAAGAAAACTATAGAATGTATAAGGGTAATAACCGTATAATTAAAAATAAACTAAATAATACCCAGTAAAAATTCGTGTTTCCACCGTGAAGCAATTGTGTTTGCATGGCTGTGTTTCGGTTTGAAGGGTGAGATATGGCGTGAATTTACAGGGTACAGAGGAATAACACCTGAGTCCTCAGAATGGCAACGCATGGGGGGTATCATGGGCGAAACAAATACCCTATTATGTCCATGGTACTGTTCATGTCTATAAGCGACTGTTACCACTTTCCATCAGGTGGACCGTCAGCTTGTTTGCCATTCTAAGTTGTATAAAAAAATTTAATATATAATAAATAAAAACAGCTCTATATACCTACCTATATAAATACTAAAAGTACATGAATAATATGTATAAATCTTAGATGAAAAACTTCCACATGATGTGCTTCCGCTTGAAAACTAAGGTTTTTAAAAAAACATAGGACGCATTTTTTTTTAAACAGATAATAATGGAATGGTGTACTAGTGGTGGGTATTAGTGGTAATACGCACTATCAGTCTTATTACTTGCAATATACGCTGGCAGATCGACCTCCACGTGGTCCCTCCTGGAAACCATCGTGCTGAATCGTGATCGTGATTCCAGGTGTATTCATCACGGTGGGCTAATTGACCTGCCTTTTCATTCTCACCTATCATCTTTCACTGGTATCCTGCCAGTGTATACCGATAGCGCAAGCGGTGATACCATTCCATAATATTCCATTAATATAACTGCATATCACGAAAGGAATATTTTGTTATAATCTGTGCTTGCACACGTGAGCATAAGCGACACGATAACGTGAACCTTTGTGTTTTGCAAGTAGAGCGGAAATAAAAATATTATAAATACGCCATTACAATGCGCACATTATTCAAACATGCATATTGGAACGCAGCTATTGTTTATTGGCGACATAATTACAATATATTTGAACTATTCGCTTGTGATTTAGGAAAATTACATCACTAATCTAAAGCAATAGATACAAAATATAAACAGGTACAGTTAATTTTTTTTTTATACAACTTAGAATGGCAAACAAGCTGACGGCCCACCTGATGGAAAGTGGTAACCGTCGCCTATAGACATGAGCAGTACCATGGAAATACCATACCAGTACCATATTTATAGTATAGAACCACTTTACTATATGTAATTTATTAACTTATAATATTAAATTCAATTTATTCAATAACAATATTACATTGTATTGAATATGTACAATATGAACGGATTTCTTTTTTTTTTTTACATTTAACTTAATATTTATTTACTTTATTTGTAATTTCAATTAAATTTTATTTACTTTACTTCGTAAGCGGTAGCTGAGGGCAGAAGCGTCCCTCTTAAAACAGCCTAACTGCTGTTGCAAACCCGTGGCAACTAGTGGCAAACCCCCCAAAGGGAGGTTTATATTCAGCATTAGACAGTTAACGGCTGATATAATGATAATAATTACTTTACATTATTTACAATAATCTGTCATGCGTTGATTACCGTTTGCATTTCTGCGCCGCGAGTTGCAGTGAAAAAGTAATTTTTTTTTAATAAAAAATAAATTATATTAAAAATTATGTTTATACCACTATAAAGGATTATTGAGTTTCCATTTGCCCGTTTTGAAAACCAGAAACCGTGGAGAAAAAGTGATATTATTTTATGATGTATTTTTATATCGTTATAATGTTGTAACTTACGAGGTTTGTCCGGAAAGTACGTATAAAAGTTTTTTAAAAATTTTATTTTACAATTATTCAGGTAAATCAATTTTATCCCCTTCAAAGTACTCCCCCTGTGACATAATGCACTTGTGCCAACGCCGTTTCCACTGTGAGAAGGCTCCTTGAAAGTCCTCTGGTTGTAGGTTTCTCATGCCCCGTCGTAGCTTTTTTTATCTCATTTATGTCCCCCAAATGCCGCCCCCGAAGTACCAATTTGGTTTTTGGGAACAAGAAGAAGTCACACGGGGCCAAATCCGGCGAATAGGGGGGTGTTCGGTCACCGTAATGGAATTTTTACTCAAAAACTCACGGACAACAAGAGAGGTGTGGGCAGGGGCATTGTCGTGGTGAAGAATCCAACGCCCCTCTCGCGCCAATTCTGGACGAACTCGTGCCACACGACTGTCTGACCGTTAAACGACGGTCCCCATTAACACAAGTTCGAATTCTTTCCACGTTTTCGTCGGAATGTGAAGTGGAAGGACGTCCTGAACGTGGGTCATCTTGAACGCTTTCTCGGCCCTCTCTGAATCTTTTTAGCCACTTGTGGACGGTTGGTTCCTTCACAGCATCATCCCCATAAACTGTTCTGAGATCGGCAAAAATTTCACGGCCATTCTTGCCGAGTTTCGAGAGAAACTTGATTACGACGCGCTGCTCTTCAACGGAAGCGGGCTCCATGCCGACGGGGTTTCGTTAAGAGGTAACTTCACAGATGGCGTGACAAGCCAGTTCGCACCGCACGGCGGTCAGACCAGAACTGAAGCATTGTTAGGGACATAAGGAAGGGGTCCTGCGCTTACCCGGCCTCCCCACTCCTCTTTCTCGCATTCCAGAACACTTTTATACGAACTTTCCGGACAGACCTCGTATAACAAATGTTCCTGCATATTCCCACTTATGAAAACGAACTATTTTTAAATATTTCCGTTCATTTGGTTCATTGCATTTTTATAACAGAAAGTATTCAATATACTTACGTATTTGCATGTGCAAACACTTTTTTAGCACTTTAATCAATAAACCTTGAAGATACTGCATTTAATGTGATTCTATAGCAATAATAAAATACATTATTCAAAACTCTTACCTTTTTTACGGACAGGGCTAGCTTAAAACGTGGCAAGTCATCAACACCTGAAACAAAACATAAAAGCTGGTTATGTTCTATTTCATACGTACATAAACGTTACATCCCTCAAATTGGGGTAGGTAAAATATAATACAATAGAATGCAAAATACTTCGATTCAAACAGATCTCTATTAATGTTTCATTTAAGCTTATCTTTATACAATGAAAATATGTGTCCACCAAAGAAACCCTTAAACAAACTCAAAAGAAAAAACGTTAAACCTACAGGTTGCCTGGTAGAGAATGTCTATAGCATTACGTCCGCCTTTTTTGATTCATCCACGATCCACAAATTATTGATTATGAAAGTTTAAATAAATAAATAAACATATCGTTAATTTCAAATATTGTTTCTCTAAATATTTTCACTGTGAATTTTTTTTTTCTACCTTTGTGAGAAACCCCTTACAGGTAGGCAAATCAGAGTACCAAAAATTTCTACTATCCTTAGACGACTCATGTTTTATTCATTCTCTTATCTCATCTCATGCATACACGTTAAAAAATGAAGTGAGGGGGAGAAACAGGGCCTCCGCGAAGTCTCTTGGAAGCTTATCCTGGTTAACAGACCTGACTTCGTTCTCATCTATTATCCCCCACTAGCCTGTCAGCGTAAACTGATGATGTAGACAGAATTACCGAAACATTTTTATAGATTAAAAAATATTGTTAGCGCCACTAATAAGAGGCATAAGGTAGAAGATGCGACTTTAAACTCCGACCACTTAATTTTTTTTTAATACACTAAATATAAATCACATGATTATAATTTTTTTTAAATGTTTTTTCTGTAATAACATCCAGTTTATACACTGTCAAATGATTGCTTTTACATAAATATTAAAATACAAAATTGACATTCCTTATTAAAAAATACATATACTTAGAATCTATTTACTTTCATTTACAATCACTGATAAATGCGTTTAAATAAATTATTGCTAAGAAACACCTGTCTCGTTTTAATTTTCGATTGAATGGAAGGAAAATTACCCAATAAAATAATATACACCATATGACAAATATGGCGGCGTTATCGTATTACGGTTTTACACTTGGTTTTGTTAATGGCACAGATACCTAGTTTTAATGTTGTGTGACGAAATGAAATTATGCACGCTGTGATTGTAATAAAATTGCAAGTATCATGGAGATTTTTTGTTAAATTACACAGAAATATAACTTTTTTGCGACACAGAGGGCAAACGATCATGCGGCTCACCTGATGGTAAGTGACTACCGACGCTCATGATCACCCGCAACACCAGAGGCATTGCAGGTGTGCTGCCGGCCTTTTAAAAAGGAATATACTCTTTTATTGAAGGTTATAATATGAATATGTTATTCAAGTCAGCAAAATATAGTTTCAGTAAGACAGCGATAGCCGTGACAAGACTAGCGCTTCATTAAGCTGATTTTTGGTCGCCGATCATCCGCGACATAATGTCAACAGATCATATTGCGTACAATTTGCTACTCTCAGTCCACACTAAATATAAAAATAAAACAAAATTTTTTTTTATTCAATTAAACTTAAATAGACGTAGGTCTCACCGTGTAGGTCCCGGCATAGAATGGACCACCCCTTCCTTTCCCATGGGTATCGTAAGAGGCGACTAAGGGAGCGTATAGTGGAGGGATGGGCAGCAGCGTCCCTCTTAAAACATCTGTATAAGCCTAACTGCGGTTGCCAACCCACCTGTCAAGCCTGGCAACTACTGGCAAAACTCCCCTTATGGGGAAGATTAATGTTCAGCAGTGAACAATCAACGGTTGGAATAATAAACTTAACAGCATTTCTGAATAGTCATTTTTAATCAATCTACCGCGCAGTTCGGAATGCAACTTCAACTGAGAAGAACGAGCAAAAAAACTCAGCTATTGCATGTTTCGAACAAAAATTGAGTTTACAAAAAAAAATGTGAATGGATAAAATGACTATCACAAAGTTCATATTGATAAATAGTACGATCAGACACAGTAATCTTGAACAGAGCAGTCACAGTTCACTATGCAGAAAATCGGTCATTATTTACATCGACGTGACGCCGCGGAACACTTATGACCGGCGTCTATAGTGTCCGCGCGTCGTTTTACCGTCAACGAAAGTCTCACATTTTAGTAGATATTTTATTTATTTATTTATTAGACACATAGAAAAGATATTAACCATAAAAAAACTTAAGTAGTAGTTACATTCGGATTCGGATTCAGATTCGGCTAGGTTACAATCCAATTACATTATGTGCACAGCTCAAGTAATTCTTGTAAAGCCAGCACATAAAATATTTTAGTAATTAATCGATTTAAATCGAAAAGTCAACTCGTCACAGATACAGCGATGTGGTCCCCTACAATAGAATAGGAATCTAAGTGTATTCTGTGATCTCCATGGTACTGTTCATGCCTATAAGTGAAGGATACTACATGACATCAAGCGGGACATAAATTTCCTTACTAATGTAAGTATAAGTGGTTTGGGGGGAAAGGGATTGTTAGTAATGGAGACTAAGAATCCCATTGCAAGCAATTAACCCAACCAGGTCGACCTCCTCCCGGTTCCCCCTGGAAACTATCATGTTTAATTCCTAATGAATTCATCATGATGGGCTAACTGACCTGTTTCCATTCTCATCAATCACCCTTTACTGGTGCTCCGCCAGCGTATCCCGTTAGCGCAGGCGGGGTTACCATACCATTTTCACCCATCAAAAAAAGTATAAGTGGTTAGACCTTCCACAACCACCACGCATGGAGAGCAGGGGATTGTTAATAATGCGGACTATCAGACCCATTGCTAGCAATATACCCTGTCAGGTCGACCTCCACGTGTTCTCCCCTGGAAACCATCGTAAGGAATCCTAGATGTATTCATCACGATAGGCTAACAGACCTGCCTTTTCATTCTCATCTATCATCCCTCACTGATGCCGTACCAGTGTATACCGTTAGCGCTGGCGGGTTTGCCATTCCATTATCATCCATTAAAAAAAATCCGCCACGTATGAAAGTCTGGGATTTGAAACAGGATTCTATGTAATCCTAATATATCGAAAATAAACCGTAACCTGACTTCCGTGTCTTCTAATAAAGGAATTCGAGTGGTCGGTAATAAAACATGCTAATCTGTACACAGCATGTTTGGTATAAGATGCGACTCAAATACAAACACACTATTACTATTCAATGGAATCGTCATTCTTTAATTCGACAAAGACCTTACTGTTTGCGAAACCGTTTTGACGCAAACCCATTATGGGTACAAGTACGACCCGTTTTGTGCAGAGCTGGAACCTTGTCTAAATATCATATATGTTAGGCAATAGTAGTCGGAGTCTAAATTCTCTGCATTGTACGATGCAATAGGCACTTAGTTGAATTTATGTCTGCCGTCACCTAATTTGGTGTTAGCTGTCATGAAAAACAAAAAAGCTGCAAACAAATATCTACTTAAAAGAAATATGTATAGGGTTTTAAATTGTGTGTTTCTTTATATTCATTATCATCATATCAGCCTTTAACTGTCCACTGTTGAACATAATTCTCCCCTTTGGGGGAATTTTGTCTATAGTTGACACGCTTGGCAGGTGGATTGGCAGCCCCAGCTAGGCTTTAGAGATGTTTTAAGAGGAACTCAGCTGCCCATCCCTCGCCCTCCCTTATTCGGCTTTTACGACACCCACGGAATAGGAAGGGGTGACGTATCCTATGCAAGGACCATGTTTCTTTATATTGCTCTGATGTAAATATTGTAATAATAAACCTAGGGCTATATAGGCACGCAAAAGTCGGTTATCTCATCGTAATATGTCAAAATCGGTTTTGAATGAGCAAAGATGTCACGTAAAAATAGATACAATTAAAACAACTAGAAAAATGTTTCCTTATAGAAATTACCTAATAAAAATCCTATTATTTTTTATACTAGCGATCCGACCCGGCTTCGCACGAGTAGACAAAATTTTCAAAAATCAATACATACAACAAAAAATTCAGCCAATTCGACTGATCGGTTATTTTATAGCACTTTATATGTGATTCTTTAGATTTTTTTTTATTTACAAACCGATCGATATAAAACAAACACTAAATGTTAAGAGGAGCAAACCGCAACGGATTAGTGAAAATCGCATTCAAATCGGTTAATCCGTTTCAGAGATAAGCGTGCACACGTAATGTTTCTTACTTAATCACTCTTAAACAGCTGATCGGATTGTATGATATTTATTACAGAGGATTATTCTGTGTGGAGGGAAAGAGGAGTGGAGGTCGAGCATCAACAAGATGGATGGATACAAAGAACTGCTGGAGCTATCTCGCAAGATTCTAGACACAAAGCACAAAACAGCTTGAACCCTTCGACTCAGTGCAACGCCGAACTATGATAATTGTCGATGATCCCAGGCTTGCAAGCGGTATCGAACCCTTAAGTCTTAGGAGAGATTTTGCCTCACTCTGCGTGTTCTACCGCTTGTACAACGGATTGTGCTCAGAGGAATTATTTAATATGATGCTTACGGCCACTTTCTATCATCGTACGGCTCGCCATCGATAGGGAGTTCACCCTCATACCTTACAGCTACGGTAACCGCTTACCATCAGGTGGGCCGTATGCTTGTTTGCCACCTCAGTGGTATAAAAAAATCTTCTATGTCCGCGATTAAACAAAAGTCATTTATTGATAACATAGAAACTATGTATTTGCATGCATCCGGACACAGCTGATTATTAATGAGAAGTTGAATAACATGTGAATAGCCAATAGCTCATTGAGTATTCACGTCTAATTCATAATGTGATGTAACGTCAAAACTATATAATATTTATATAATACTACAGTATGGTTCTGACCGGGACTGCCTGACCAGCAAATATAATATAATATATAATAAATTTATTTATGTCTCCTTACAAACAACTTAAATTTACACATGAAGTATTTAGGATAAAATTAAAATAATATGGAACTCTGCTGTGACGAGCTGGTGTCTGTAATAGGTTAAA